TCCTTTAAGTTGTGGGTGTCAGGTATTGTGTCTTAGTGACAAGAAAGTAACCAAGACAATATCTAAATCTAAAAAAGTTGGTCTCACAGTGGAGAAAACAGAATATTCTGCTTTACCAGAGGTTGAAGAGGGAAGGAGGGGAAATAAGGAGAGGTTGGTTACAGTTAGAAAGAGTAAGTTTGGATGTGCTACTGCACAATAGGGTAATGTGGATAATGATAATGTATTGTTTCAAAATAGCTAGATTTTGGATATCCTCAACAAAAAGAAATGATGTTTGAGATGCTCGATATGCTAATTACCCTGATTTGATTATTATACAATGTATACTTGTATGTCTCACATTATATCCCACAAACATAGATTTATGTGTCAATTAAAAAGAATATAAAGCTTTTTAAAAATGCAGTCTTTGGTTGTATTCTTGATCTCCTGGATTGGTATTGTTAGAGGAAGGATACCCAGAACTCTGCGTTTTTAATATGGAAACAAGAACCAGTGCTGTGTCTATGGGGCTGGCAGAGGCGCGCGGGGCGGCGCTGCGGCGCGTGCGTCACGGAGAGAGCGCTGGGTTGCAGCCCATCTGGACCGAGAGGCGCGGCCCTGCCTCCCGCCGGCTGCAGCGGCTCCTGCGCTGCGTCCGAAGTGAGAGGCCTGGGCCGAGTCCGCCGCGGCCGCCGCCCAACTCAGGCCTAAGCAGGGCAGGTGTGCGGCGCCTCCATCTTGGGAGGGACCCCGCCCCCACCCGCGAACCCCGCGTGGCAGCTGCCGCCCCCGCCCCACTGCAGCCCGCTCGCTCGCCGACCCGCAGGGCCCGGTCCCCGCTGCCCTGACGCCTGGAGTGCCTTCAGCCACCTGGGAACAGGTAGAGTCCTCCCGCCCCACCCCTCTTCGGGTCTTTGCAATTCTGTCCTGATTCCTTCTCCGCCGCCAGCGGCCTGCGCCTCGGAATCCAGTCCCGGGATCCCAGAAGGCCACGCCCATCGGGGCGCTCCAGGGCTCCATCCGCAGGGTGGACGCTGAGGGGACGCCAGGGCTCGGCGCAGGCGCCCGCAGCTGAACCGCGTCTATTTTTGCGCCTAAACCAAAGTCACCCTCTAATGCCCTGCGGGCGCCCTGAGAAGGGCCGCGCACTTGCGAGCGGCCGCGCGTTGGGCGGAGCCGGCGGGGGCGCGCGGGGCGGC